CTAACAGCAGCTCTGGGTACCACTGCCAACTTCAGTATAGAGGGGGGACAGATAATACCAATGCCCCTTAGTAGGTCTATGGGTGATCATTGTGCAGGCTCTGCAGCCATTGTCTACACTGAAGCCAGTGCTGAGGGGATCATGTGATGTGACTGGATCATAACAACTTCAGAATAGGTAAGTATGAAGCCTGTTCTCTTTCCTTTTACAGAGTAGATAGAATATACTTAGAATGGGGGAGGGGAGAAGATTTAAGCTTAGTTACATTTTGATTTGCCTTCCATTTTAAAATTAAATAATTCCAGCTAACAAAAATATTAAAAACTCCAAAAGGACACCTGAGGTGGGTGCATTTCTTGTCCCATCGACTCCCTTTGGGGGCCCATGGTAAATGAATAGGCATGCTCAGTTCTGCAGATAAGTGTGATGAGTCCCTTAAGCAGAGCTTTCTATATTGCTTTTATTTATTTAACCTCATCAAAGATATCTACAGCCACCCTAAATGCACATTTTGTTCCTTCAACGGTACATTGAGCCTGGGTTCACACTGATGCGGTGCGAAATTCTCACCGGTTCCTGTGCGAATTCCACACAGCATCCTAATCGCACCCCATTCATGCAAACCACTGCGGGTGTGTATGTTAAATTAACAACCCCCCGAAATCGGTTTGCAAAGCATGGTGCGATGTGTAAATACCCATGCGATCCGATTCTAGGGCGGACAAAACAAAAGTGTCCTGCACCTTTTTGGTGCGGATGTGGTGCAGTTTGAGCCATACACAATGTATGGCTCAAATTTCAACGCACAGAATTTGCATGTGATTTGTACAGGAATGCGGTGCGGTTGCTTTGCGAATCACATGTGATATGCCGCACTGCAGACGTGTGAACCCGAGGGCACACTAGTGAGTTGTGTTAATGTACAATAAACCTACAATTGTCATAATGTTACCCATAATACACATTAAGAGATGGATCTATGGGCTGTGCATTGCAACGTTAAGGCACCCTAGAGCAGCCTTTCTCAACCAGGGTGCCCAGGCACTCTGGGGTGCCTTGAGGTTTCTTCAGGGGTGCCTTGGCAAAATGTCTAAAAATTGCCCAAAACTTGCCAGCGCGGGTGGAACAAGCCTGCCTTTTAGTTACACAATGCCACAGGTTTTCATTGTGCACCATTACAACCTTCTAGCCGCTGGCGTCCTGACAACCAATGACATCATCAGTTGATAAGGAGGATGTCACCTGCCTGCACAACAGACTAGTTTGACCCTCCCCCTTCCCTCTCCATCAGTGCTGGGGTCACATTAGCTCAGTGATGGAGAAAAACTGAGGGAGAGGAGAAACACTGGAATACTAGTCAGTACCAGTGTGAAAGTGTATTTGCTTTGGAAGAATAAATCACCTCTAATGTTGGGTGTCCTACATGTGTGGATGTTGCTGCGTTATATAAAACTATTAGAATAATTTTTCCCATTTTAGAATGGGGTGCCTCAAGACTGTCCATAATTTTAAAGGGTGTCTCGGGACTGTCCATCATTTTAAAGGGTGCCTTGACTGAAAAAAAGGTTGAGAACACTGCCCTAGAGCATCTAGGCAGCATATCTCAATGCCCATGTGTTTTAGGGGGAGATTTGGACCATACAGGCATTGTGGTGTGCTATGTTGAAAAAAATATTGTCAGTATTTTACATCATGCAGCCCATTCGAAATTCAGTACAAAATGCATCTGTGAACATGTGTGCATTACCACACAACACAATAGTGCGAATGGACCCATAAAGACACGAAAGGGATGTGTGCAAAAGCAGAGGAAGCAGGTAATTACAGTACAATGGGTGAATGCTGAGCTCAAACAGCTGTTTATACAACAGATAAATCCTGTATGTCACTACAAATGCACACTGGAATAAGTGACACGGGTGCACACACAATGACAGATGCCTCTGGATATTGACAATCAAGGCAAAGGTACTTACAGCATAGGTAAGATTTTGAAAGCAAGAATTTGCCTTTTTTTTTGTATACAAGACAGTAGCATGTCACACAGCGAAAGTGTGCAACAGGGGGCTGATCTATGTCAGACATTTGTGCACACAGCCAAGAACTGCACAGGCACCACCAGTATTGACATGATTGTGTCGTCTCTGAGCTGGCATCTCAGTCCAAGAAGTAGATGGTGACTTTGGATGATGTCTGAACAAAGATGGCGCTGTCCGTCTGGAGAGAAAAGCATGAAGGCATTTTCAGGGGTAGTAATGTGTGCTCTGTGAGAGGTACTAAATACCTGCAAGTGTTACATTGCACGTTACTTCGCATGCTGCACTTCACATGAGAACAAAGCATATATTTGATTCCAGCTCTTCTTTAAGCCATGTGAACAGTCTTTGCTGACTCAATTCACTACCAAATACTAAATGAAACATTTCTAAGCTTACTTTTAAAAGTTCCAAGCAAAGGGGACCACATTTTTTCATACCTGGAAGAATGACTCCCTGGATCTGTGTCCACTACCCACCTCCTGCTCAGCATGACACTTACTACCAGGGGCGGACTGACCACTCATGGGGCCCCCGGGCAATAGGGGAGCATGGGGCCCTTGTGTCCTTGCCCAAACTCAAAAAAGCCTATGAAAAAGGTACCAGGGGCATCTCATGGGGCCCCCTACTGACCAGGGGCCCTCGGGCAGTGCCCGAGTTTCCAATTGGTCAGTCTGCCCCTGCTTACTACTAAATTCTACTTCCACTTATTATATCAGATTTCCACACCAGATGCAGAGACTGATGGCCCCGTATTCTCTGTACTGCTCTGCGGAATATGTCAGAGCTATATAACTTGATTCCATAAACTTGTGGCGTTCTGAATGCTTTTCATATCTTTTGACCCTTAAGCCTGGGTTCACACTTCTGCAGTGCAGTGCGGCATAACGCATGTGATTTGCACAGGAACCGCACCGCATTCCTATGCAAATTCTGTGTGGTGCGATTTGAGCCGTACATTTTGTATGGCTCAAATGGCACCGCATCTGCATAAAAAGGTGCAGGACCCTTTTTTGGTCTGTACTAGAATCGGATCGCATGGGTATTCACACCTATGTGATCTGATTCTGCACATCGCACCGCATTTTCTGAACAGATTTCGGGGTGTTGTTAACGGTCACACCCGCAGCGGTTCGCATGAACGGAGTGCGATTGTGATGTGTTGCGGAATTCGCACAGAAACCGCTGCGAGTTCCACACCGCATCAGTGTGAACCCGAGCTCAGGCAGCAACTGACAAATGGCGGCCAAACCAGTTTGTCGGTCACTTTATAAATGTACCCCTAATTTGTAGTATGTGTTCCTCGGCTTACACCAGTCTCTGGCCTCCCCGCTTTTCTGTATAGTACGCTGAAAGCAGGAAAAGTTTGTTTTTGATATAGCTTCTGGCAGTGATGTCACAGACAGGTTTGGTCACATCTGCAGCACTACAGGGGTTAACGGGCACAATTTGGTTGTGAAGGGCCTTTTAAGCTAATTGATTCATCCCGTCTTCCCTATCTGCCCCCCCATTTCCTCATTATCTATACGGTCTCCAAGGTCGCATAATGACCATCGCACTGTGCTGCATTCAGACAGCACCATGGCAACCCAGACGTCAGAGATGCTGGGCGTGTTGCATGAGAAACACAGTGCAGGACAGATTTTCCCCAGAATAGTAGTCTGCTCAAGTAAATTGTTCAACATAGCCTTCTTACAGCAAATGATGTCACTCCTATCACAAACACAAAAACCAAGGAGCTCATTTCTTGTGTGTCCTTCTTATGAATACTGAATGCTATATCCTAGTGACCGACTGTACTTCCAAAGCCATTGCCATTGGTTTGTAGCCCAGATACAGCCTTACTATAGAGCCATTTATCCAACTGTCGGGTTATAGACCCCAAAACATTCTAAATGGAGAACCGTTTATCCAACTGTGCAGCAATAGCCACTGAATATTAGGCCAGATACAGCCTAAATATAGAGCCATTTATCCAACTGTCGGGTTATAGACCCCAAAACATTCTAAATGGAGAACCGTTTATCCAACTGTGCAGCAATAGCCACTGAATATTAGGCCAGATACAGCCTAAATATAGAGCCATTTATCCAACTGTCCATCCAAAACTGCTGGTTTGTAGCCATATACAACACAAATATTGAACCATTTATCCAGTGTTCATGATTACTTTTTTTTTTTATCAAATGCATTTAAAAACAAATCAAGAAAATATACAAAAAAATTGCATATGTTAATAATTTTCATGTATTTTTTTCCCTTTCTCATCATCAAATTCTTATTCTTGCTTTCTCATTTCAACAACTCTGCATGTAAACTTCTAATGTCCTCTGTTCTCATCTCCCCCTTTCTTCCTTGTTCAACCTTACTAATTCTCTTTTTTTGTCTTTAATTCCACCTATTCTCCAATGTCCTCTCTCCTTGTCCTCATCTCCACCCGTTTTCTAACATCCTCTCTCCTTCTCTTCATTTCCACCCTTTCTCTAATGTCCTTTCTCTTTGTCCTCATCACCACCCATTCTCTGATGTCCTCTCCTCCCATGTCTTCATCTCCATCCAATATTTAATGTCCTCTCTCCCTCCATGTCTTGATATCTGCCTACTTGCTGTGGTCCTTTCCCTCACTCTGCACCTTTATTTCCACCTATTCTTTGATATCCTCTCTAAATTTCCCCATTTCCACCCATTCTCGGATACTCTTTCTCCATTTCCTTATTTCCACTCATTCTCCGATGCCTTCTCTTCATTTCCACCTATTTTCCAATGTTCTCTATTTCCTCATCTCCAACAATTTTCTCATGTCCGTTCTCCCTCTTTATCCAATTACCTCTCTTCCTCTCTGTCCTCCTCTCCACCCATTTTCTGATGTTCTCATTCTAAACATCTTCCAATGTCCCCCTTATCTGTCCCTTTATCACTTCTTCCATGGTCATCTTTCTCAGGCTCCTCAAGTGTCCTCTGAAGATGGTGTTTGCTCATGGAATGGATGCACGGAGATCTCATCCCATCCTACCCACCATTCTCTATCCGATGCCAAATAACAGTGTAACTGCCTGTCCCATGTCAGCTGAAGAGCCATGGATTCCTGGCATTTTTAAAGATGGCGCTACAGGAAAAAGGAACAGCACAGTTCCGGGCCAGTTGCTCCTTCCTGGTGAAATAGCAGCAGCTGGTCTAGCTTTTGGCCTTATATGGATCTTGTCTGTTTTTGGAAATGCTTTGGTGTGTCTCGTCATCCATCGAAGTCGGCGGACTCAGTCAACGACAAATTATTTTGTTGTCTCTCTAGCATGTGCGGACCTACTTCTCAGCTTGGGCAGTGCCCCATTTACATTGGTACAAGTCAGCTCTGGTCGGTGGACATTGGGCAGTGCTATGTGCAAACTGGCACGCTATTTTCACTACTTGACCCCTGGAGTACAGATTTATGTTCTCCTGTCCATCTGTCTTGACCGTTTCTATACCATCTTGTATCCATTAAGCTTCAAAGTCTCAAGAGAAAAAGCCAAAAGGATGATTGTGGCTTCATGGATTTTTGATGCTGCCTTTGTCTTACCAGCTTTCTTCTTTTATGACAGTGTTGATGAGCACTGCAACTTTTTTCCTCCCCCATCCTGGGATGGTGCAGTTTACGGAGTGGCCCATCTCTTAGTGGGTTTCCTTGTGCCATCTGCCCTAATAATTCTCTTTTACCAAAAGGTGGTTAAATACATTTGGCGCATTGGCACAGACAGGCTTAGTGTCAGAAGGACCATGAACATTGTGCCCAGGACCAAAGTCAAAACCATCAAAATGTTCCTCATGCTCAATACTATCTTCTTGGTGTCCTGGCTGCCATTTTACGTGGTGCAGCTGTGGCACCCAGATGAGAGTGATCGGCGGCAGTGCTGCCTCATGTACTTGGTGGTCTCCTGGCTCTCTTTTGGATCCTCAGCAGCCAAGCCGACACTATACTCTGTATACAATGCTAACTTCCGGCGAGGCATGAAAGAGACTTTTTGCATGTCTTCCATGAAGTGTTATCGGAGCAATGCCTATACTATCACCACTTGCTCCCGCATGGCTAAAAGGAATTATGTTGGCATCTGTGAAATGCCCATCCCGGGCAAAACCACCATTAAGGAATCAGTATACGACTCCTTTGACCGTGAAGCCAAGGAGAAAAAACTGGCCTGGCCAATCGATTCCAATCCTCCAAATACTTTTGTGTGATTGGTTGCTGCACATTAAAACGTTCAACACAGAACTATTGTTTATCAGACACTCGACCAATACATGGCAAAAGCCTCTGCTTAAAGAAAGGAGTTTGTTTTAGAGACTCAAGGCTTTTTGCCACTCCTGTTTATTTGGAAACAGACCAACTTTCATGGCAAGGATTATATTTTGTAAAGAAAAAAAAAAAAGCAATATTTATTTTGTTGCAATCCCAAACACAACTCTGAGGGAAAGTCTGGGTTTCTATTGTGTAAATAAAATGTGCTATTTTGGGACGGACTTCAAGTTTTGCTCTGCCGTTTCAAAAAGTCAGCACTGCTTTATATCACCCGTTACAATGTTGCATTTTTTTTGTAATTGATTGTTGTAAAATGTATTTGTTTTCCTGGACAACAATTTCTGAAAGGGCCGCCAAACCACAAGAATATTAGGCCTCATTCACCATCCCCATTACCACGTAGCGGGAACGAGTGAGATTCTGACAGCATGGTTTTCACACTATTCTGCGTGTCGAATAGGGCAGTACATTCAAGTGACTGTCACCTGAAAAGAATCCCCGGCTCCTTTTCTGGCGACAAGCTACATGAGGTTTTTAAAGGTGCAGTTTGCCATGATTGCTGTGAGACAATTGCTGCAGAATGGCATCGCATTTGGGGTGCCATTGAAGAGTAATGGCACTCAAACACATGCAGCACGTTATGCTGCAATTGCCACATGATTTGGAATAGCGGAGAAAATCACAGCAATTCTGCCCACGATTCCAAATTGTGATGTGTGAATGGAGCCTAAATAGAAAAACATTATTAAAGTATTGATCCATTTGAAATTTATATTTAAAGTATATCAAAGCCTTTTCTCAGTTTTCAATGAAGTGCAGAAGGATTATGACCCCAGTTTGTTTTTTAATGCTGTGTTTCTTCTGCAGAGATGAACATTTTATGTGTCCTGATGACTCTTTATACCACAGGTGTCAAACTGGCATCCCAACAGCTGTTGCCAAACTACAAGTCCCATGAGGCATTGCAAGATTGACAGTTGCAAGCATGACTCCAAAAAGGCAGAGGCATGATGGGACTTGTAGTTTCGCAACAGCTGGAGGGATGCCAGTTTGACACCCCTGCTTTATACCAAAATATTAATAGATGGGAAATCTTCCAACATGGAAAACTTTCTGGTGACATCAAAGGAGCAGGGGCGGACTGACAACTCATGGGGCCCCTGGGCAATAGGGGATCATGGGGCCCCTGTGTCCTTGCCCAAACTCAAAAAAGCCTATGAAAAAGGTACCAGGGGCATCTCATGGGGCCCCCTACTGACCCCGGGCCCTCGGGCAGTGCCCGAGTTTCCAAATGGTCAGTCCGCTCCTGCTAAGGAGTTGTGTCTTTGGGACTGGAAGTGAAGGGAAATCTCTCAAGCAGGGACAATCTAATCTATAAAATGTTTTGGCTTTATATACACTTTATGTTGTATAGAAGGAGTCCAGTGGGCTGAATTACACATGGTTTGTTATTTTGCACAAAGACTAGATGTTTTTCCACAATTACTCTGTCTCTTGTTCCTGCCAATAGCTGAAATGTCCCTGCCCACCTTAGGGTGTTCCCATTCTAGCTACATTCTCTATAAAATAAAAAAAAGATAAACATCCAGAAGTGAGAGTGGGAGCCCCTCATAATGGGCACATAAGACCACATTCTAGGATAGATGGTAGCAAAGCCAAAAACTATTGTGGTGAAATCTTACAGCAGGCATACTACAGGTGTAAGAAGTTGGATCAGGGTCCACCTATTACTGACATTACATTTGTGCAAATGTAAGTTTTTAATAAAGCCCAGAGCCTGTTACAGCACAAATTTGCACTTTTCTACAATTTGATTGACATCATGTCTAGTTATGGCTTTACCAAACAACCATTGCTGATATTTTTATTACAGGTGATGGCTGGCAGGTTGAGAGCAATATGGTTTCTTATAGTTAGGGATCCCTGCAGTGGTTTGTGTCTCTGCCCCTCCCAAGCTGGTGAGATTTCCCCGTAGTGGTTTTTTTTTTTCTCTCTGTCCCACCCACAATGGTGAAATTTCCTGTAGTAGTTTGTGTCTCTGCCCCTCCTACAATGGCAAAAGTTCCTCTCAGTAGCTGTGTCTACCCCTCCCACAATGGTGAAACTTCCTGCAGTAGTTTGTGTCTCTGCCCCTCCCACAATGGTGAAATTTCCTGTAGTAGTTTGTGTCTACAAACTACTACAGGAAATTGCACCATTGTGAACTCCATTGGGTGGATTCTAAAATTCTGTTAAGGGGATCTAACACTAGAATCTCAGCAAGATACAAGAAACCAGCTTGTGATTCAACTTGCCAGTAAATGCAAAACTATAAATAATCCTATTTGGTGGTATGCCCTCAGAGTATCCAAGACCTTGAAATGGTGGGATTTGTGGAATATAAGGTCCCATTATTATCTGAAAGGGGAGGATTTGATTGATATAACATAGCCCAAAAGAGAGATCCCCTTGAGAGTTCCTCTGCCTATCACACATATTTTGGTAGCTGCATTGTAGCATTTTAATTTGTTGCTATCTATAGATATCACTCACTGGATACCACTAGTTCCCAATTTGCATCCCCCAAAATCAAGCTCCAGCCCACAAAAAAGGAGCCTCCATTTAAAATTCTGTACAGATATACGTTCAAGTAAATATAAACCCACATTCTAGCTCTGCAACTTTCATTCAAATAATCCCTGTCATGGGGTTCTTGTTCACAACTGTTCTGTCTCCCTATTGTGTTCCTGTGTTGTCACTTTGTCACATGCCCCCCTGGTGGGACACACATGGTATGGTCCATGTTGGGTCCACCATGCCATTATGAAGAAGCAGGATCCAGGACAATGATGTGCATCTGAAGCAGCGAGTGCATGTAGACATGAATTGGCTGAAGGAGGCTGCAGGAGATCAACAGTAATTAGATGCGAAAGGACCAAACCAAGAAAATTTAAATTGTCTATGATATAGAGCAAACTAAATGTTGTCCAGTTGGAGTTTACATCTATTTTAAATGTAATTTTGCTAATGTGAATGTTTATGTTTTCAGAGAAATAAGAGTGTCACATATTTCTCTCCTCATACCTGTCATTGTATCAGATTTTTGCACAAGAGATGGATATACAGCAGAGCTGTAAAGAGGGAAATTCTGGCAATTTTAATCTGAATGTTGTCTTGTGAATTGATCACGTCATTGATGAAGAAAGGGCTAAACTTTAATAAAACCATCTGAATTCCTCTCTGAGATGGTGTCAGGTGCCTCTGTTCTGTGACTTTGGGGTATTACAGGGTGTTGGGAATAAGTAGGGGCAGCAGACTGTTGGGGTTGGATAATGGTGGCAGGGTGTTTGAGGTGTGTGGAGGTAGCAAGGTCTTGGGACAGCAGTGTGCTTGGGGTGTATGGCGGTGCCAAGGTGTTGGAGCTAGGTGGGGGCACCAGGATGCTTGGGGCAGCAGGATGCTGGGAGATGTTCGGGGAAGCAAGGTGTCAGAGCTATCAGGAGGCAGCAGGATTTTATGGGTTGCAGGGTGCTGGGAGATGTTCAGGGCAGCAGGGTGTTTGGGTCAGCAGGTGTTGGGGGTGCATGGGGTCAGCAGTGTGTTGGGGGTTTTAAGGGCAACAGGATTTCAGGGGGTGCGTTGGGGCAGCAGGGTGTTGGGGATCATGGGGTCAGCAGAGTGTTGGGGGTTTTGAGTGCAACAGGATTTCAGGGGATGCATCGGGACAGGAGGGTGTTGGGGATTTTGGGGGCAGCAAGGGTTTGGGTGCCGCAGGTTGTTAAGGTTGTTGAGGGGAGTAGTATGACATTGGGGGTGGGTGAGGGTGTCCCTTTGTCTATTTTTGTCCTTTTCTCCGGTGGAGGAAGGCATAAATCCTATGGTGGGGCAGCGTTTGGTGACAGCTGCACTGTGTAGGTGGGGTTCTATGGGAATCTATATATCTCAAATCTATTTTTATACGCAGAGGAATGCAAATGAAATTCGGAGCAGAGAAATCACTGGAAAAGAGAGCTCCATTCAGCATTAGGAGATATTAACAGATAGAATGTAATGGTTTTGAACTTTTTGGTTACTATTGGATTCCTTTTTTTGGTTATGTTTTTAAAATTAACCTGTGCTTTATTCATGCTTTATTCATGCTGGGAAAAGTAACATGGTCACTTTAAAGCAAAGACCTAAAGTGGACCCATCAACAGATTTTTTTATGAGAAGTGTAGCAGGCTAAAATGTGTCAGTAACAGGCACTTGTTTTCTCTCACAGAGATCACAGTATCCCCTGACAATACCTTCATCTACTTTTCCCTCCAAATGGATGGGCCCATAATCATGTAAATACTGGTGCCCATCCAGTTCCTGGTTGTGTTTACAAATGTCTGACACAGATCAGCCCATCAGCCTCTTACCTTGTCATTGGCTACAATGTTACAATGTTGCAATTTAATTATTGGGGGGGGGGGGAGACTAAGGAAATGCTTCCCTCTGCCTGCAGCAGACTGATGATATCATCAGCCTAGGCATAGTCACTGACAGGAGTGGTTCTAAACATAAAATAAAAAAAAAACTAAACAAAAAACAGGTTCATACTTACCTGCTGTGGTTCTGAACCTCCTTTTCTTGGGTTCCCCGCCAGCACTTCTGGCTGCTCCTCTCTGTCTTTGCTGCTTCCTATGGGGGCATTTGTGCATGCTCACTCCCAAGCCCTGCTGTCTGCATCCATTGACACATACAGAGGGACTCGGCCCCACCTTCTGCTCCCTCCTCTCTGGCTTTGATTGACAGCAGCTGGAGTCAATGGCTCCCAGTGCCCCAGCAAAGCCTGTGAGACCTGGAACTGAGGGGAGAGAAGAGGTGCACAGCACTGGATCAAATGAGGGCTCAGGTAAGTAAACAGGGGGGTGGGGTAAACATTTTTTTAACTTAATGCAAGGAATGCATTACTGTGATATTAAAGGCAAATTAA